CACTCAGTCTGACTCCCCTCACTAAAACATATGTTTGCTGCATATCACAGGAGGGTTGCTTTAGATACACATTTGACGTGTAGTTGTTTATACCTCTTTCACCTCTTTTTCTTTGAAATATTAAGCTTCATCACGTATTTTTGTCCTACTCTTCCAGTTTAACATTTCACTTTCAAGCTTTCAACAAACAGTCAGTGCATTTGAGGCTGAAACAATTTTCATTCAAATCTGCATTTTTACGCCTCAGGTTTAGCCGTTTGTTAGCTAAAGCAGCCTACAGTTCATTCAACTATTTCAAATATTCAGCCCTGCATTCAGCAAATCCTCAGAAGGAAATGAATCATCTAAGGATAAAATATTTGGGTTGTTTAGAGGTAACATTTTTCACTGGTAAGTCAGGGAAGTTTAAATGTTTAACCTCACTTTAAAGCCGGTTTTGACCTTCAAAATTTCAAACCAACTTCAAAGGCCCAGCAGGATGGCGTTTAGATCTTTCCTTGAAGACAGTTGACGAACCACGCTGGTCTTCCCGTCTGCTGACCTTTGACCTTTGGCTGTGCAGCAGCGGGCCCTGAAGATAAGACAATACTTCCTGTGAACCATGAATAATCCTCACTTTAATCTAGTTCAATTAATTGGCCCTGGGCTGTGTTTGAATAAATCCAACAGATCAAGTTTCTTTCACAAACTCATGTCCTCCCGCCTGTTGTGTTAAATTAGCTGATTTCTGTTGTTCATTTTGCAGCGCCTGCAGAGCCGAGTTTCCTCCCCCCCCACACACACACATACACTACTACTACTTCTGATACAACTACTACCACTACTACTAGTACTTACGGTATGTCCACACCGCGGCTTTGGAAAAAGCTTGCCGGCGGGCGTGTCTGAAGCTCGACCAACAACCAATCACATGAAGCTCCCGCCCCTGACACACAAGCAGCGGTTTGATTGGCTAGAGCTTGTACTGGCATATGATTTGATTGGCTGACGCTTCCGTCGAAAGCTCCAGAAGATTCAAAAGTTGAACATTGCTCAACTTTTGAATCCTGAGATGCCTGGAAATCTCCGCTTTGCTTCCCACAATGCAGTTCGGCGAAAAGTGAGGCAAAGTGACGTCACCCCATTCAAAGTGAATGGAAGATTTTTTTTAACGCTGCTGTGTGGACGTACCGTAACTGGTGTGAGGAAGAGGAGGGGAATATTAAGTATTCTTTTTAATTCTGTTTTATGAGCCACGGCAGATTGTCCTAACAGCAATTGCTCTCTGCAGATAATGACGGCTTAAATATACTCAACTGGGGCCTCGTAATTAAATGTGAGGGCTGTGATTGTGTGCCAGTAACTCTTTGGTTTCAGATAATGCCAATACTGGGCATATGGAGCATGCACACATTTTCTCCTACTTTGGCTACGGTGGAAAAGGGACATCGCTCCCATTCACGGTGCAAATGAAAAGTTCCCCGCTCGACTAAAGCTCCCCCGAAAGAAAAAAAAACGTGGCATTTGAATTGTTTTGCTTACTTGAACTTAAAGAGGGACTTGACATGCTCACTCAATGAATAAAAATGATGTGAAGTGAGCGCTGAGGGAGCTGCACCCTGGGATGCCGTGTTGACTCGCTCATCAGCATTTCACAAGTCGTTTTGATCTTTAGCGTCGTTTTCTGGCATATTCCGCCCGACGATGTGACATTTCTCTGGTTTCTGCTATTCAGGTGCCATGGCGTCATTAAAAACACGGAGCTATGTATGTGGTAGTCACTTTTATAATGATTGTATTCATGTTAACGCTCCAACTGGGATGTCAAAATGTGTTCTGGAACCTAAACATGAGGTCTTTAATAGCAGCTGGTGGTGAAGTTTGGTTGGAGTTAATCAGAGGGTCTCTAAGACTACCTTTGGAGCTGGGTGACGTTCCGATATGAACCATTATGGCTGTGACTCGGGTGAAATGGGCGTCTGCCAATCAGAGGGTTGGTGGTTCGTTCCCCAGCGAAAGCAGTAAACATTTCGTAGCGTTCTTTGGCAAGTTGGTTAACCTCAAATTGCGCCATAAGGTATTACCGGTTTAAAGTATATGTAAGTTGCTTTGGTTAAATGTTACCACCAAAGTCAAAATTCCATTTGTTTTAACTTAACCTTGTTTGTTGTAAAGTGCATGTATCCTGCTAATGTTTAGGTGTATCAGTGTTTCCCATACATTGATTTATTTGTGGCGGGCCACCAAAATTAAATATGGTCCGCCACAAATGGATCTAATAAAAAAAAAAAAAAGATTATTATTTTTCTTTTGTGTGGTCCAATGGATAGTGAGGTGGGCTGATGATCGGGTTCAAATCCTTCCTGGAACACCACTTGCCCTTGAGTAAGGCACTTAGCCCTCGGTTACTCCAGGGAGAATGTCCCTGTAATTGGTCATTGTAAGTCGCTTTGGAATTAGGCGTTGGCTAAATGCCTAAATTGTAAATAACATTTTTGTGTGTTTCACTCATTAACAACGCAACACAGAGCAACAAGAACGTTGTCTACAGTAGCCATGAACTTGCATGTATTATCTTATTTGAGAGGGGGGGTGGATGCGTGGACCACCCGAATAGGTTAAGGGGCCTTTGGCTGTTCTGCCTTGACCCCACAAATAGAATCAAATTCTGTGGGAAACACTGTATATTAGCATGTAGTGTCTCCATGCTTTAATGTTCAAAAAGTGTGTGGAGAGAAACTCCTTCTTGAGGGAACACAGGGATATTAGCCTTTTGAAGACCATTGAAGACCATTGACCTACAGAACACACTACAGCAAAGAAAAGGCGTCTTTAAAAGTGAGAAACATAAAAAAAGTTTCATGAAGTCAAACCCAAACCTTATCAACGGGATCTTAAGTTTCGTCTCTTCTTTGAGGGAGGGTAGTGACCAGTTGCTTCTTCTGTATACAGTATATGATATTGGACAAATCAGTTTGAACTTACCCTTGTTTATTTGTTACCTTTCAATGAGCTACTCTTGTGATGACTTTCTAATGCAGCTCAACTCAATTCCTGATCATCACGTAGTATGCCATTGTGTTCTTTTGTATGTACAGTATTGAGGATTGGAAAACATCTAATTCAACTCGTTTGTTGGTGACCTTTCAAAGCACAATTATTGTGATGAGTTCTCTCTGAGACACTTAAAAAAGTAAAGTACGAAGAAGTTTTCATTCAGGAAACCTTATTCCTGATTATTTAGCTCTTACCTTTCACTTTTCTCTGAAAGATAATCACCAGCAGCTCATCTGTTTGCACAGCGTTGAGGATTAGACCCAATTGCAATCTCTTTCCGTGATTGGTTGCATTTGCATCTCTCTTCCCAATTGCAAGATAGCAAATCCTCTGAGGTTCTGTTGGACGACCTCAACCCATATTCCCTCTCCTTCCTCTGACAGACCTTGGGCATGCTGGCTCTGTCTTTTAAAACGAAGAAAGCCCTCCTCTGAGTGAGATGAAATCACAGGGAGGCTGCTGCACACAGATCATCCCTCAGAGCTGCACAAACACACAGCCTTTTACTCCAAGCAAGCCCAGTGAATGCACACAGGACCCTAAAAGCCATGTCGGGCTGTATTTATAGAAAGTCCCTTAGGCGGCCATGTCCTGATTCTGGGAGAACACAATTTAATATTTATATAGTGTGAACAGAACAATGAAGGGATCAGGCTGTATGTTGGGGCAGTAAATCAAGGGACAGTTGTAATAACAGCAGTTGAATGTCCCCATGGAGTCCCCCAGGTACTAAGTGTTGTCACTCAGGTGTTATATATCAATCTGATTATATCGGGTCTTAAACCTCAGCATAGTGTCTCCAGTTTATTCCAGCGCATTAGATTAAACCCTTGTCTCGCAGGCAGACAGCAACCAGAAGGACAATTATCCCATTTATTGGTATTCACTAACATGGGACCTGCTGCAGCAACACAACAGCGTAAGTAATAGGTGTCAACACTGAAACCAATAATATCCTGACTTCTATTACATCAGGATGCGTGATTTAATTGGAAGCCCCACTCTGCCGCTGAAATATTGATATCACATTTTTGTCTCAGTCCTCAGAAATGTGTTTTGTGTTTACCTCACCAGATGCTGTTACCAAACAGCCTAAAGACCCGCGGGTTTTTCCTTTCCATGCGGCTTGTGTTTAGCATAATAGGCGCAGTAGTGCACTGCCCTGGCGTTTTGCCTCTGTCAGCCCTATTAATCGCAAGTCAAATCACTTCCATTAGATTTCCGGGGCAAAGCATTCGGCTGCTGGGATTTGCTGAAGCGGGGCAGTGTGAGAGAAAGGAAAGATAGAAAGAGGAGCACAAGGCACAGGGAGAATGGCTGCCGCTGATAAGCTGCAGGCTAGAAATACGCAAAGCACCGCAGTATATGAGAATGATGAATCAGGGGTAATAGTCACCCTGCAGTGAGGGTTGTCATCATGGGACATTTTCTTCAGAGACAACATTTACCTGTCACAGCAACTGCGTTCAGAGGAGCAATAATGGGCTTTGTTCCCGGGCTTCAAAGTGCATCTGGGGTGATGGGGGGGGTTTATAGGAAGTGAGGCCTTAGGGGAATCACTTCCACTGATTTGTGCAGATTGTGCTAAATGGGCCAGGTGATAATTGCTGGCAGAGTAAAGAGGTCATTCCCTCTGTAGTGTGTTGATGGCCAAACAAGCACAAAGCTCAACATATCATCTGTTTGAGTTCGATTCAGTAAAGAACAGTCCATGTTTTTTTGTTTTCTTAAAGAGGGTTATACACAACATAAAAGCAACAGAAGGTAGTCAGAAAAACAAAGAGTGTAATGCAATAAAACTAAAACTCAATCCACAGAGGCATTATGGGACATTTAAAGAGACATTTATATCATGACTTTTCACTATAACAATGCAATGTTAGAATAGTTATGAATAAAATACATCATAGTGAACCTCTTGTAAAAGACTATGGAAGCTAAATATTTATCTTAAATCAGTCGATAAATCAACCAATCAAACTTTATTAATATAGAACTTTTCATAAACAGCAGCAAATAACTTTGCCATCAATAAAAACACTTAAAAAACTGAACTCAAGAAACCATAAGAACTATTCATTGTATGGTTATCATCATAAACATCCTGAGGTTTATCCTGATTTGCCGTAGCTCCACACACGGTGGGATATTTAAAGTGATTGTTAAATGTTGTATCTCTGCTTTAAAGCTTCTTCCAGTCCTGCTGTCTCACCCAGTTTGTCGTCAGAGTTTCTGGCTGTTGGGTTTCTGTACCGCTGCTCCACATGACAAATGGGCACATTAGACGGCAGCTTGTCGGGAGATTATTTCTGATTCTGAACCCCCGGACCCCCCGCTGGCGGCAGGACTCCCATCGCCCTGCTGTTAAAGCTCGGTGTTGGCGGGTCAGCATGAGTGACACCGGAGCAATTGGTCATATTGGCCCATCTGTGAGGCACCGGGGCTCCAACTGGCATCCAGGCAAAGGAAGCTTAAGTCTTATTAGACAGGGTATTACATCCAAACAAAGACTTATTAAGACAACACTATCTAGGGGAACAAAACAGGAGATTACAGACCCATCCCATTACACTGTAGGTCACCGAGGGCTTCCTGGCACTCTTGTAATCTGGAAACAATCGCCCATGGTTGACTAACCAACAGGGAGTCTGGAAACATTCTGGACATTCTTCCTGCATTGAATCCACCAACTGTTGACTGAGGAAATACAGCAGCCATTATACCTTATGCAGACTTTCCTGTCAAGGTGCAGAGGAACAAAGTTTTCCCGGCATGCTCTCTAGGTCATTACCAAACCTAACAGATTTCCTTGTTTTGCATACCAACCGGCGTATCGCTTGCTGTTTTGATTTCTTGCCTCTGTGCCTCTCGACACAGCTGATGGCCTCTCCTCCAGCGTGGGTAATAAGAGCAGAATGCATTGACCTTGTTTTCATTTACTCCCCGTGGATACAGCATGGTCCCACCAAGTTGGAAATTCTTCTTCTTTTGTTGGCAGCGTGCTTTATCATTGCTGGCACTTTGTGTTAGATGCATGGACCTCTTGGTGACCTCCTCTCTCCGGTCCTGGGAGAATTTCTCCTGGAGGTGACTCTAGCCTCAGTGAGGGGGATAGAGCTTCTCAGCCCTCAATCCTTGCCTCAGGCTACCGTGTTCATTGCTGTAAGGCCTCCCAAACTGCAGCTGCCAATAAAGACCTGGAAGAGTTCTGATAGTGAATGGTCCCGGCTTAAATGTGTCAATTTGTAGACGCTAAAAAGAGTTGATTTGAACTGTTAGGCGAGTTTGGGCTCAGTGGAAAGCGTGCAAAGTGTGTTTTTCAGTAAATAGACGGGAATGAATCAAGGAACCAGTACGAGGTTAGTTCCGACCGAGAAACAAATAACAACTTCAAGTTGAAGCAACATGATATCCTTCAATTTCATCTTTATTTCAGGAACCACTCATACTCATTTTGCCCTGATTATGTTTTTCTGAGAAAATCAAAGACAAACCAAATTCTGTCTTGATAATGAACTCCTGTGTATATCTTAGGGCTGCTCAATTAATCGTATTTTAATCGCAATTACGATTATGGCTTGGAACGATTACGAAAACAACGTAATCAAAATAAAACGCTTATTTTTTTATTATTACTTTTTTTTTTTTTTTTTGGTTTTTCAGTTGAATTATACTTAAAGTTCAGGGTAATCAACTGTTAAAAACATACTGTTCACATTTCCTTTCTCCAATAAATTGATGTTTTCAAAGTAAATGGATAATCGTTTTTAATAATCGTGATATCAATTATTGACCCAAATAATCGAGATTATGATTTTTGCCATAATCGAGCAGCCCTAGTATATCTACAGAGGTTAGAGCAGTGTCGCTACAAGAAGTCAGCCTTTTTTCAAGGTAATTGACTTCATAAAATGTAATGGAGGGTATTACTGCTCATGCCTAAATAATTTCCCCAGTAAAAAACTCACTGGGCTTTGGCTTTTACAGAAGCTCCTCAGTTGTTATATCTTCCGTTCTACTTAAGCGTTTGCATTTGTCAGATTTTTTAAATGTATAGTCCGCCGTTGTATAGATAACGTACTGTACAGTCGCTGCTGTTTCATTAACGGTGTGCGCTGCATATCTTTACTACTGCTTCTGCTTCCCTTCTATCCTGCTCAGCATTGCATTTCAATACACTCTGGGGCCAGAAGCACAGTTGGCGCTTTCAAACCTGATCGTGCTTTTAATGTGCACAAGCTATTAATCAGCAGTTTTATTCTAGGCCATGGGGGTTTATGGGACACAGTGTTCGTAGCACTGTGGGTTGCCCTGCATATCTCTCAGCCCACCACATTGTAACAGCTGCTTCATGTCATTGGGGGAGCGTCGGGGAAGATCCGCACAATAAAACCTGTAGACCCTGATCTGTGACACATGTGACGCAAACAAACACTTTGTCACTTTTCATTGCCTGCATGTGCAAGGACAGTCGTGTTTCTTCTGGTAAGATTCAGACAGGTCTACAGATATATGTGTACGTGGATCTTTTGCTTCCCCTCACATCTATAAAAGGTCACCATACAAGGTTTAATGGTTACTAAAAGAGAAAAAGGAGCTTTAATGCTGTTGGTTTGCATGGAGTCGGTTAGCTTTAGGGTTACGGCCCGTCTACACTACAGGCATCGAAAAATGCTTTCAACGCTTCGCCCATTCACTTGAATGGGGTGACGTAGAAGATTTTTAATCTTCGCCGAACTGCATTGTGGGGAGCTTGGCATGGCTTTGCTAGCATCACGAGCATCTATCGGCATCAAAAGTTGAACAATGTTCAACTTTTGAGGCTCGATGCTTGGCATCAGCCAATCAAATCCCGTTTATGCAAATCCCGCCAGTGCAAGCGCAGCCAATCAAACCGCGTGCAAGCTGGGAGAGCCAGACCGCAGTTCATTTCCTCATATTCCAAACGAGAAATTACGGTAGCAAATCACCCGGTTCTTTACGACCAGGACTATTTACCGGGATACAAACCGGAGGAACCAGGCATGGAGGGAGGTGGCAGAGACAGTGGGTGAAACTGGTAGGTTTTTCGCCTGTTTGGGGATTTTATATCCAGTTCACTTCGTTTTAACATTGCTATTGCTTTGTATGTCGGGGGCGGGAGATTCATGTGGTTGGTTGTTGGTCGCGATGCTCGCAAAAAATCGCCAAGCTTCAGACACGCCCAGCTTCAAGATCTTTTGATGCCTGTAGTGTAGACGGGCCGTTAGTCGTGCTGAGGATGCTGTTGAAGCGGATGAAGCCCTGCTTACTCTACTGGATCTGGCCACCACAGATACACTGTCCATATGAGAAACATCCTCATTGCAGGCTTGTGGTATTTCTTTGTAATGTTCATCACAATTAATCCACACATCAGCTTCATTAATAAAGTCCAGAAACTTCTGAGATTTAGGCTCAAACCAGCTCTCTTGATCATGGCTCTTTTCTTCTTCGTTCCCGGTGATGTATCTCAGTTTTTGATTGCTGTTGCAGCACTCCTAATGATCGAACTCTCTTGGATTGATAGTGAAACCCTTACAGCCTACACCCTAGACTAGCACCGGTGCTGGCGCGCGTCTTTTTTCACGCTAGACTCGCACCGGATGGACCGCCGTTTCTGGCACAACCTTAATCGGCGATGGCACCACCTTATACCTGACGTCCTACGAGTGGGATGACGAGCGTACGAGGGCAAAAACAAAGGCAACCTCCAGCTCGGTGACCCTTTTGTCGATAACAGAAACCAGTGGCTTGGCCACCTTATACAGCCTTCTGTCGCAACGTGTACTCGCCACCGCAATGCCCAGCTGCGGGTGTCTCCCCGTCGCCGTTTTGCGTTGTCTTTTCCGGTACCTCGTCGGCGATGTCGAGACGTAGTTAACGTTCCTCTGTCGCATTTATTTGTTGGTGGCGGTTTACTTACTTTCACGTCGGAAATTACCCCGTTGTGGACATGAACGTACCTTCATCGAGGTTTCTACTTTGGAAAGTTCGTCAGAACACTTCTCAAAATTTCTGACAATTGACGGAGTCAAC